ACAGGAGAGAGAAATTTAAATAGGGAGGGAAAAACAAACAAAAAAACTTACCACCACCACATCTACTTCTGAATAAATAATAAAATTTAGAACTATATAAACAAAAAGTATTAGAAATTTTTTTATACTTATAAAAATGTAAATTATAAATAAATTATCCACACATTATGGTAAGTAGAAGTAACATGCCAATATATAGTAAATTGTCGTAAAAATTTTGATACCAGGCTCTATTAACATTTTAAATCATGCTACAGGTGGCAACTCTCCTGCCTGCCAGTATGTCTATGCAGGCGTCTCTCTTTCCTTTTTTCCTCTCCTCAACAAACTTGCCGTGTGCTGATGAAAAGGAAAAAAAAATCAGACTACTGGCTACCTTTGAATATGGTCATTCTCAATCCTGAATGAATAATGCAACTACTAATACTGATGCCTAGGCCCCATTCCCACAGATTCTTATTTAATTGGTCTGAGGTACATCCTGACCATGAAAATTTTTAAAGTTCCATGAGTGCACCTTATGTGTACCTATGGTTGAGACTCAGTGATTTAGGATGACATAGATTGTAGACTGTATTAATTGCTTTGGGTGCAGTTTATGAATAGAAACACAAACATACAAAAGTTTAAAAAAAACTTGGTCATACTTCTTGGAAGCAACCTCTTGATATTGTAGTGTAATTAATTGTCCCACAAGTTATCTAATGTCAGCAGTGTGAAAATACTGTTTGACTCTGTTGCTTATAGGTAGCCTAAAAATTGGAAACTTGATTCAGCGGACTATTTTGCAAATATTCACCTAAAGGTCGACAGAGGTACTAACCAAGAATCCAAGTTTCACAAAGTAACATTTCCTATAAGATTTGGACTATTTATTTTACATCAGCCTAGACCCTATTTTTATTTACTTCTTTCTTTACAACTTTTCTTAACTGAAAATATATTTGCAGTCAAAGGATTCTATGGGCTAAAGTATAATTTCAGGGCCTCCCTGGTGGCGCAGCAGTTGAGCGCTGGGCTGCGAAGCTGCCCACAGCCTCTGTAGCACCGGTTCAATCCCTGGCCACTGGCAAGGATCCCACATGGTGTGCCGACCTCTCCTGCCACGCCAGCTGCTCCCCTCAGCAGTGTACTTCGTCAGTCTGCCTACTCTGCTCCCAGCTCTGGCTCTGTGGAATTCTCTCACCCTCCCATGCTTCTGACTGTACCCAGTGCTAGTATAAATAAATAAATCTTTAAAAAAATAAAAATAAAGTATAATTTCAAGCAATTTCATGGTGACCATTTATTTTTACAAATTTGAAGTATAGGGCCTCCCCGGTGGCTCAAGGGGTTAAGCACCGCACTATGAAGCAATCTGCAACCTCTGGAACATGAGTTCAATCCCCCGGCCGGCCAGGGAGCAACCCACATGGCGCAGCAGACCTCTCCTGTCTTGCCCGCTGCTCCCCTCAGCAGTGTATTTCAGTCACTCTGCCTGTTCTGTTCCCCACTCTGTCTCTGGTGAATCCTCTTACCTCCCGCATCTCTGGCCTGTACCCCAGGTCTTTTATGCATAAATAAATAAGTCTTTTGGAAAAAAGAAAAGAAAAATTGAAGTATAAGTAATGTACTATAAGCTGTATATATGAAGTATACAACTTCGTAAGTTTTGATATATGTACACACCCATGAAAATATTGATATAATTGACATAGGAAACATTTTTATCACTCTTAAAAATTTCCATGCATGGGCCTCCCTGGTGGCACAAGGGGTTAAGCACCGCACTATAAAGCAATCCGCAGCCTTTACAGCAAGAGTTCCATCCACGGCCTGCCAGGCAGCAACCCATATGGCTCAGCAGACCACTCCTGACTCGCCCGCTGCTCCCCTCAGCAGTGTACTTTGGTCAATCTGCCTGTTCTGTTCCCCACTCTGTCTCTGGTGAATCCTGACACCCCCACATCTCTGGCCTGTACCCCAGTTGTTATATCCATAATTTCCATGCACCCTTCTGAAATCTAACCTACCTCTACTTTTATCCTCAAGGTATCTGCTTTCTGTCATTATAGATTACTTAGCATTTCTAGAATTTTATGAATGGCAACATGTATTATGATTTTTAAAAAGTTTTCATCTGGCTTATTTCACTTAGCAAATGATTTTTAAATTCAATCACTTCATTGTGTGTATCAAAAGTTGTCCTTTTTTATTTATTTATTTTGCTGAGTAATAAATAATCCTATCAATGCTCTTGATTTCCATATTGTACAAACCAACATGTTTTCTTGGCACAAAATTTTGTGAGAAGCTAACAAAAGCTGCTAAATGTTAAAATCAATGTTTTTTTGAAAACATCAGTCTGGTGATTCTCATTTTAGTTCTCACTTTATATCTGAGGCAAGTCACTTACCCATCTCAAATGCCTCCTCCTGAAAATGGAGATATACCGCTGGCCTAGTTAATTCACTTTAGGTGAGTGCTTAAGGACTAAGACCTTGATTTTACTGAGATAGGTAAAGCTCCTAAAAATAAACACAGGGTCTGGGCCTCCCTGGTGGTGTGAGGGGTTAAGACGCAACCTATGAAGCTATCCACAGCCACTGCAGCATAAGTTCAATCCCCGGCCAGGGAGCTACCCACATGATGCAGAAGACCTCTCCTGACTTGCCCACTGCTCCCCTCAGCAGTGTATTTCAGTTAACCTGCCTTTTGTGTTCCCCACTCTGTCTCTGGTGAATCCTCTCACCCCCCAACACCTCTGGCCTGTACCCCAGCTCTTGTATGCATAAATAAATAAATCTTTAAAAAAGAATAAACACAGAGTCTCCTTAGTGGCACAGGAGTGAAAGTCTCAGCACTATCAAGCTACTGCCAGCCACTGCAGCATGATTCAATGCCCAGGCAGGAAGCTGACCCACATGGCACAGGAGACCTCTCCTGCCTCACCCTGCTATTTCCCTCAGCAGTGTATTTCAGTGGATCTGCCTGTTCTGCTCTTCACTCTGTCTCTGGTGAATCCTCTCACCCCCTGAACCTCTGGCCTATAGTCCAGTTCTTGTATGCATAAATAAATAAAATAAATCTTTAAAAAATAAACACACAGGGCCTCCCTGGTGGCACAAAGGGTTAAGATGCAACCTATGAAGCTACCCGCAGCCACCGCGGCACAAGTTCAATCCCCAGCCAGGGAGGTGACCCACATGGCACAGCAGACATCTCCTGCTGAGCCCACTGCTCCCCTCAGCAGTGTATTTCAGTCAATATGCCTGTTCTGCTCCCCACTCTGTCTCTGGTGAATCCTCTCACCCCCCACACCTCTGGCCTGTACTCCAGTTCTTATATGCATAAAAAAATAAATCTTAAAAAAAAATAAACACAGTAATGCCCATTTATTTATATACTGTCTATGGCTGCTTTTGAGCTGCAACAAAGTTTAGTATTTTTGACAGAAACTGTATGGCTGTCAAGCTTAAAATATTTGGCCTTTCACATCAACGTCACCAACCTATCCTAAGTTATCATGAAATATTCCTAAAACTAACCAGATAACAATTCATAATGATGTTCAGATTTACTAGTTGACAAAAATCATCCTACTGTTTAAAAAAATCTATGAATTTTTAAAACAATTTAAAAAATTTAGGCACTTTCGTTAACAAGATTAAATATGAGGAAAATATCAAGTTAAAGAAATACTGTAAAAGCTTCTTAGGAAAATCTGATACAGATGTTTATTTTTATATTCCTGACCAAATGCTAAATATTTAAAGACAAAATGAATAATCATTACTGTCAGAATAGAAAAAAGAATAATTTGTACAAATGGCTAGTAAAACTAAGATATTCAAATGTACTCACTGCACCTTTCTAATCTGTCACTTTTTGATCTCTAAACAGGAGGGAGCTATATCTGTGTATCTATCTATCTATCTATCTATCTATCTATCTATCTATCTATCTATCTATCTATCTATCTACCTATCCATCCATCCAACAAAATGGTTAGAGAATGAACTTTAAGGTCAAATAAACCAAAGTCAATAAAGTTAATTAGAACTACTTTATAGTAACTGAATAAAATATCCTTCAAATGTATTTTGAGAAAGAATTATTTAAAAAAAATTAACTTTTAAGTTAAAAATAAAGTCAGTATGGAACTACAAAGACTGAAAAAGTCTAAGAAATTCAAGCAGTGAACGTGTGAGGGAACCTGCCAGTTAAGAAATACTTTCATCATTAGAAGAGAAGAAATATATTTCTACCATAGGATGTAACAGAAGAACTTATTTTGTTATTTAGCTGAAAATAAATCTGACTAACCAATTGAACGATCTGGGGTTTTTCTTCCTAATTACAAGTTGCTTCATTTTTCCCCTAAAGACATATACAGGTCATTAAAAGTTTGATCTGGCTGTCATTTGGAGCACAAACTGAATTTATTCAAGGAAAAGCGTGTAGATGCTAAAATTATCTTCTATAATGACTGGAAAAGCAAGAAAAGCAACAAGGAAAAGCAGCACCATTTTGTAAATAATAAAGATTAAACTGATAATTATTTGTGGGCTCCAAGCCAGAGTAGCACTTATGGTCTTTAGGAACAATACATTACTATCATTAAGACACCCTGCTATATGTCTGACTGCCTATACAGATGACTAGATGAAATCATCTTAGTCAGTGTTTCATCTCAATTCCCAGTCTTTATTTAGTATTTCTGTCATTGTCTTAGAGATTCTGACCAAATGCCAAGAATTCTGAGATCTAACCAAAATGGAACAGTAGCCAACTTCAGTGCAATCACCTTACTCACCCACTTTGTTTTTTCTAAGCTAGCTGCCAGGACCCTAAGGCTGATACCAGAATCTATTCACAAATGGAATATCTAAATTTTCAGATGATTCTCTCTCTGAAAAAAGATTCTAGGAAACAGGGTCCTTCCTATTATTTTTATTATGTCTGTAAAGAAGACTATTATACAACAGTAATCTGAGTATGGTTAATAATGTTGAACATACCTGTCCACTTTTCCCCAATTCCAGCTCCATTACAGCAACAGGCGTGTGTATTTGAGGTGAATGCCTTGACTGTGATTTGCCATCAACTCTCCAGCTCAAGCCTCGAAGTCCACTGTCCCAGCGGCTCTGGTTCATGAGGCTCTCTCGGATTTTTGTCTTATGATTCTTCCAAAACTTGGAAATGACAGCAGCTTGGTCAGATGTGATTCCACCTTGCTTTTTGGTTTGAGCAGTCAAGAATGCCTCCAGCTGGTTGAAATCCATGTCTGCAGATGCAATAGACTATAATGACCAAAAAAAAAAGTAATAAATTTGAATTCGGTAAATAACTTTAGATCATATTTTCAGTGATTTTTAATTACTGAACAGACTCTCAAAAAGGGCCATCAAATGACAGTAATGAGAATTAGTTATTCATAAATACAAAAATATTCCCTTTGCAAATATTAAATATCAGAAAAACTGTTAAAAATTTATGCCTACAATTTATACAAATAACTACAACCTTTTAAATACCAGGTTCAGGCCTCCCCAGTGGTACAGCAGGTTGAGCTTAGCGCTATGAAGCTTCGGCAGCCTCTGCAGGGCGGGTTTGATTCCCAGCCAGCCAGGGAGTAACCAACATGGCGCAGCAGACCTCTCCTGTCTCACCTGCTGCTCCCCTCAGCAGTGTCTTCAGTCCCTCTGCCTGTTCTGCTCCCCGCTTTGTGTCTGGTGAATCCTCTCACCCCACCCTCCCCGCACCTCTGGCCTGTACCCCAGCTCTTGTATAAATAAATAAATCTTTAAAAAAAAAATACACAGTTCAATAGTAGAAAATAATAGTAATAAATTGAAATAATTTAAATATATTACTTAATAAAATAAAACAATAAAATTAATTCATTCTCTGATGAAATCTCACATAACTTTTATAGTACCTTATAACTAAGCTTGGTTGGATATACTGTAGCTATAAAAAGGCTTGTCCATAAGAAGCACTAAGTAAATTTTGTTAAATCAATCATTTTTGTTTTTTAGTTTTTTCTTTTTTCTTGCATTTTAGTTTTGCAAATTAATGCATTTCATTTTGCATTTTAGTTTTGTACTAACACTACTCTGAAATTGTATACTATATGCTTTTCCATAATCTTCAAAACTTAACTGTTATTGTTCTGAAACAATAAGCAACTTAATTGCAATGGAAAAATCATGAAAGGGCTGAGCAACAAAGCCTTGTTGAGAACAGTGACAGTTAATGATTTGGCCTCAGGACAAGCTTTCTCCTGCCTCTTTTTTGGTATATTCTTATACAGTCCTGGCCATCAGGGATCGCAAGGATTCCAAACCAGACAAATCATAACACCCTCCTTTCTCTAGTCCAAATGAGACTCACAGAAAGAAAAATGGTCTTCCATTTTGGGGTATGGTACCAGAAGGATAGGAGGCTGGGGTTGCAGCAGCCATCATCTTTGATCTTTTAGAAAAGACCTGACTGCAAAAAAAAAAAAAAAAAAAAGAAAGAAGCCACACAGAGATGAGAGTGGGTTCTGATGGAGCGATAGCACTGTTCCGTAACATCCAAGGCCTGGTTTCTGCAGACACTCCTTTAATTCTGTACGGCATATCAGCATCCTTTCCACACATAGGCACAAAAATTCCTTTTACTATTCAAGATAGTTTAAGCTATATTCCCAGCATTTGAAACAAGAGTCTTGATTAAACTTGGGCAATGGCGGGGGCTTCCTTAATGGCACAAGGGGTTAAGCACAGCACTGTGAAGCTATCGCCAGCCTCTGCAGCATGAGTTCAATCCCCAGCCGGCCAGGGAGGTGACCCATGTGGTGCAGCAGACCTCTCCTGCCTCACCTGCTGCTCCCCTCAGTACTGTATTTTGGTCAGTCTGCCTGTTCTGCTCTCCACTCTCTCTGGTGAATCCTCTCACCCCCGTACCTCTGGCCTGTACCCCAGTTCTTATAAGCAAAAATAAATAAATCTTTTAAAAAATAAATAAATAAATAAATAAACTTGGGCAACAGGACTTACAATAGAGTAATATAAAGGTGGAATACAGATAGAGCAAGTGGGGCTGCAGTGCAAAGACAAACATGCTGCCTTTCATTCCTCCTTTAGTATAAAAAGAATTGATAAATATAAATGTCTGGTAGGTTAAAGATATTTGACATTACAATTCAATAAATGTTTATTGACTATCTGCCTATTTAGCAAATTGGAGAACTCCAAATCTCTGGTCCCCTGGCTGTACATGCAACAGAAACATTAATTTGTAGGAAATACTATAACTAAGTAAAATTATTTCCACTGGCATTTTGCTTTGCAATAACATGTCACAATCCAGGTGATTTGTATTAACCTTTACCTCAAATCATATCATTCTGATATAATTTCACTTGGGGCACAAGTTATTTTGGTTGGGTTTTAGTCAATATTAACTTGACATGGGTCAATTAATCCAAATTTAGAATAACTGGAGGCCTCCCCAGTGGCGCAGTGGGTTGAGCGCAGCTCTGTGAAGCTGTCTGCAGCCTCTGCAGCGCTGGTTCGATTCCCAGCCAGCGAGGGCGATTCCCGCATGGCACTGCAGACCTCTCCTGTCATGCCCACTGCTCCCCTCAGCAGTGTATTTCTGCTGTCTGCCTGTTCTGCTCCCTGCTCTGTCTCTGGTGAATCCTCTCATCCTCCCATGCCTCTGGTCTGTACTCCAGCTCTTGTATAAAAATAAAAAATCTTAAAAAAAAAAAGTTAAAAAAAAAAATAGAATAACTGGAAATTTAATGAGGAACTGATTTTGGTTTGAGTTCACAATCGTCAGTTTTCATTTAGTTTGAGGAATAGTTGAATAGTTATTATGGAATAGACACTGTTCAAGATATGTCACATCCAATTGCCAGAACTCTAAGTTGGCAGCCCTACTTATCCCTGATACTTCTTCCTCCTCTACTTAAATTAGTGGTTCTGAACACTGGCTACAAACTAGAATAATGAGGAACATTTTAAAAATATCAGTGCCCAGACTCCATCCCAGAAATTCTGATTTCTATAAATTCTAGAATCGGTCCCAGGAATTGGTATTGTTTGAAAGTTTCCCAAGTGATTCTAGTAATCAACAGAGGTTAAAAAAAATTTTTTTAAAGATTTATTTATTTTTATACAAGAGCTGGGGTACAGGTCAGAGGCACAGGAGGGTGAGAGGATTCACCAGAGACAAAGCAGGGAGAACAGGCAGACGACCAAATTAATCCCTATATGTTTAATCATCCAAGCTCTACACCTACTTTTACATCTGAAATAATTCTCTAATATGTCCCCTCTGCTCTGTCCCTACTAACTAGCAGAGGCCCTCACTATCTTGTCCTTGAAGTAGGCTTATAGCACCCCCCCAAAAAAAACCACACCAAAGTCTGTCTTTATACCACCACCAAATGATCTATCTAAAATTTCAATAGGGTCCTGCCACTTCCCTGATTAAAGTTATTCAATAGCTAGCTATTACTTGCTTCAGTAATTATAAATCAGGATGTTATGAAATATTCTACTATGACATATAAGATTAAAGTTACAAGTACTGTGTTATTATTAGTAAAGGTGTTGAAGTTTGTAAAGATTTTTTACTGGGCCTCCCCAGTGGCACAGCAGGTTGAGTGCAGTTCTGTGAAGCTGTCTGCAGCCTCTGCAGCACCGGTTCTAATCCCACATAGCATGGCAGACCTCTCTGGTCTCACCTGCTGCTCCTCTCAGCAGTGTATTTCCATCCTTCTGCCTGTTCTGCTCCCTCCTCTGTCTCTGGTGAATTCTCTCATTCTCCTGCACCTCTGGCCTGTACCCCAGTGCTTGTATAAATAAATATATCTTAAAAAAAAAAGATTTAGTTTTACTAGTATAAGTTGAAGGGTTTTTTAAGGTTATGCTTACATTAACAATTTCCTTCTGGATTTTAACTGTTTCCTTGAATGGAAGAGAAAGAAAATTACAAACATAGGAACTCTGGTGGAAATAAATCATGCATGTATTACAACGTGTTAAGAGTATCAGAGGAATGAAAAATTGAAAACTGACAAGGTAGCAATTCTCAATGAAGTAGTATTGTCCCCATAAGCACTTGAGAAATATTGTATGTTATGTCTGGTTTCATAGTGACTGAAGTGCTGTTGGCATCTAATAATAAGTTGCAGCAGGTGATGCTAGGCATTCTGCAATGCTCAGGAAAACAGCATTTAGCAAACTTTTTGTAAAGATGTTACCATCTCCATTACATATTATTCCCCTTTTTGCAAATTCTTTAAAAAGTGTTTTAAAAAACCCAAAATGTAACACCATTCTTAACTCCTAGATAATACATAAAAAGATAGTGTGACTGCAGATAGTTTTCCAACCCTGCTAAAGAACATCCACAGAAAACAAATGACCGTACCACATAACTTGGCAATGTCCCATCTGACATTAAGTGAAAAACTTGTCAACAATTATTTGAATCTAGTAATGAATCTTTTTCTTTTTATAGTTTTAATAAACACCAGATGTTCCAGGAATACAACTAGGATAACATGTACTTTGTTTTGGTCAAAAATTTATAAACAGACATTTTGGAAAATCTCATTATCCATGGTAATACTGAAACCATGCAAACCTGGGGAAATGTCACAGAAAGGTCCTCTCCGGTGTACTTAAAATTGTAAGACTTGACTCAACTCAGAGTGTAACAACAACAAGGTTTATTTACAAGGGGTAATTGGGAGAGATAAAAAAGGAAAGACTTTTTAAGGCCACAAATGGCTGTCAGTTCCACCCCAGATAATGTCTGCAGTGTCCAACAGTCCAAACCAAAAGCTGCTCATAAAAGATGGTGTTGTTCCTTCAATGAGCACCTGTGGCTGGTGGAATACCAGTGTGGTGGACCAGGACACAACTCACGGTGGAAGCTAAAGGTGATCACAGATAGTAGTGCTCAGGCAGCACCACAGCAGCCAGCAGCAGCTATCTGGAGATCAGGCCAAGTAGCACACCTGAGGCAACAGCAACAGGAGACGGCTCGAAAGGTAGAGAGGGAATAGGCCAGCCACATGGATCAGGCAGTTGCAATCACGCAGGTGCAGACAGATCTTAGAAGCCACAGGAACAGGGCTGTGGTGCCCAACAGGCACCTAAGATTTCAGAGGATCAGGAAAAAGTGGTTGGGAGGCAGTGCTAGAGGATCAGGCAGCAAGGGTCAGCTCTTAGAGGTAGCACCAGTTATGCTGGAGGCAGGAGCTACAATCGACTATCCTAAAGGATGAGTCCAAGGT